CGAGGGAAAAGGGAGAGGAAGAAATAGAGGCTTACACGAGGAAAAACGAAGGGAAAAAATAGAATTGCACGAGAAAAAGAGTGTAGGACAGAAAAAGAGGAACGGAGAAAAATCGGAGTATAATGAGAGAAGGAGAAAGAGGTAGGGAAGAGAATCGAAGGAGAGAGAAAGGAGAAGGAGGAGTATAATGAGAGAAAAAGAGGAAAACAGGGAGAGGAGCGAGTAGAGATTCATTAGAGGACTTCCTCCGCGACGGGAGAGAGCCGCGGGACACCGTGAATGATTTTCCAGTAATGGCGGACCCTTTACCAGTGTCTCGGAGCCGGTCCCTGTTCTCGGAACTTAACAAATTACACGCAGATGCAACGGTGAAATAATAGGCGCTTTGTGGAAAAATCGAAAGCCGACGGCGTGTCCGCGGCGGCTTTTATTGCCGCTGCGACGCCGCTTCGGGAGATTGTCCGAGGACTTTAGTGGCCGGCGAACACATAAAATTTTCGTAAAGGGCTCGTAAGAATTTCGATTGGACGCTCGTCGACGTTGGCGGCCGGCCGGGGGAGTTGAACTTTCTCGCGGGGTCAATGGCGAAACTAGACGGCCGTTCTGCTCAATTTTGCATTTCGATTAGTTGACGAGATAATACTTGTCGAAACTTTTAGGTGCATGTATTAACCCCTTGTCTTACGATCTAATTTCGTAGGTACATTTCTTATGCTATTTATCGTTAATAATGCACTAGTAACAGAAAACATTTTATGCTCTCTATGTATAGACTTAGAAACTATTGCTGACAAGAACGTTTCATTCGAACTTAATACAACTCAATGACATTTATCTTTGTTAAACCATATTAGAAATCTTCGAGTCTGAAATATATCAAAGATAAATATCCTTTACTCTAATATTAATCTAATCGAAGGACTACCTTCACTTACTAAATTTCACACACATATATTTGAAATTCAAACGATTCCTCGTTAGAAAAGTAGCATCTCCGATTAAGTACAATTAACTCACATTATCAGTTACAAACTACCCTATTTAAACTTCTCCAAGATCGAATTCTTTGTTATACCTAACAGAAACATCTCCGTTTCAGTCGCAGCCATCAGAAGCCACAGGGTGAAACGGAGCTTTCTGAAAAATGGACCACGTCGAATTCCAGCGGTCAACGTCGATAATCGAGGTGAGTGGACCTATCGGGAAGAAACGCTTTAATCGTGACTTCACGGGTCGAGGGTTCGCCACGCGATAAACTGTCCGGCCGGTCAGCAAACGGTGGGCGTTCTATGCTAATCAACCGGAGCGTTCCGCTCCTCGAAGGATCGCCGCCACCCGGAAAGCAAAAATCCCGCCACAATGGCCGGACACGATCGTGCTTTCACCGGCGGCGAGCATTATCTCTAGCCAAGATGAGAAACCCCCTTCGGTGCCGCGTGGTTCCGTTCCGCTACGCTCGCCTTGGACAATGTCCCTTTCTCTCTCGCTCCGTTACTTTCTTCGCGTTTTTACTCTGTCTGTTATCTGTTTTCTATTAGCCTGGTGTTCAGCGATCGGGCAGATCTCACGTGGAAGCGTTTTGGTGGCTTGCTTCGTTAGCTGAAGGGGTCTTGTTGCACTCGTTGGCAACGGAGTATAGCGTTGTAACATTGTAACGATCGGTTTCAGGTTTTCCGTGCGCCGTTACCAGTGAAATTAGCGTCCGTTTAGGTTTCCTTTTGTTCTTTCGACATTGTACGTATCGAACTTTTGAAGATTCTCGACGCCAGAGTTATTGAACTTTCTAAATTTCCGAGCATTGGAATTATTGAACTTTCTAAACTTTTCGACACTTGAGTTATCGAACTACGAACGATTCTAAGTATCGATGTTATTAAACTTTCGACATTTCGGAATACTGTTGCACTATCAAAACGACCAGTTGCACTTTCCCATTTCCCACTCGAAACCACGAACCCCTTCACATCGGCTATTTTCTGCCTCAATTTCCACGCTCTCCGAACGAAGTTTAAAAGTTCATAGCAGATCGTTGCTCCCGTTCACCCTTATTGTCATCCTCATCGACGACAACGCCGCTGATCGCCCAAGGAATCACGCTCTCCGCGAAGACACCACTTAGTTGCCGAGCTACTTATTTTCCGCCATTATCGCTGGAACAAAAGCCTGTTACGAGCGTCCTGGATCGCATACGCGAAATCGTGCTCGTAGTATTAAATCACGTTTAATGCACGGCCGTGGATCGAGAGCGAGCGAAAGGGCAGGGGAGAGAGGGAGAAAGGAGGAGAGAGGCTGCGTTTGACAGGGTTAGAAAGATTGCCTCGACAAATGATCCGGCCAGGCTATCTCTCGCGGCGAGAGGCTACCAGCAACGTTCCGTTCCTCCGCTTGTAAACGGCTTGTCGCCCGCTGACAACAGTATTTGTCTTTGCAGCCTCGATCGGAGAGATTTATTCTTCGCCGGGTAGACGCGGACGAATGCATATATACGGTGTCCGAGTATGACTCGCCGTAATTGCTGGTGTCGTTGCTGGGGATTTATATGGTCCTCGTTTTTATTCGTTTCGCTTGGAAATTATTCAGTTTATTTTCTAAATGAAGGGATGATGTGGTTGTCCGAGAATGTTGAGGTTTTTGGGGTTGCAAGTTAAGAGTGGATTAATGCTAAGATATGGAGAAATTAGAAGATGTTAGGGTATGGTGAAGCAGTGAATTTTTTATTCGTTTCGGTTGGAAATTATTCAATTTATTTTCTGAATGAAGGGATGATATGGTTGTTGGAGAATGTTGATGGTTTTGGGGTTGCAAGTTGACAGTGGATTAATGCTAAGATATTAGGGTATGATGAAGTAGTGAATTTTTTATTCGTTTTGGTTGGAAATTTCAGGGGTGATTTTGCAGACAAAGGGATGAGATGATTGTTGGAGAATGTTGAGGGTTTTGGGGTTGCAAGTTGACAGTGGATTGATGCTAAGATATGGAGAAATTAGAAGATATTAGGGTATGGTGAAGCAGTGAATTTTTTATTCGTTCTGGTTGGAAATTTCAGGGGTGATTTTGTAGATGAAGGGGTGAGATAATTGTTAGAGAATGTTGGGGGTTTTGAGGGTGCGAATGAAGAATAATTTGGATTTTGTTAAAAGATTAATATAGACTAGTTTCTTGAAATAAGAGTAATATTGGATTATAGCTGCATTGTACGATGGCGGTAGACAGCAAGCATCACTGAAAAATTCGACGGAACTGGATGAAAATGGCGGCGTACAACAATAAACGAAAACTAGACGGAAATAGGTGTCAGTATAAATACAGCAAGTTAAAATAATCCAGGATAGATCGTAATGGATGACGCAAATGAGATTGAAGTCGCCGAGAATAGGCGGGAATCGGCGAAGATAGATCAAAGAGGATGGAAATAGATGACAATGAATGAAGATAGCAGGTGAAACCAACCGAGAAACCGAGGAGGATTTATGCAACCGTGAGAACACACACGAATAATCCCCGAAATCCTAATCTCAAGATACCCACTATAAATTACACTACAAAACCCCGCAAACAATTAAATCCTACCAAACAACACATCTCAATCCCCCCGAAAAACCCCAAAAAATCAAAACACAATGTCCCAAGAAATAAATTTCACAATATCCCGAAAAAAAAGAACGAAGTCCCTTCATCATCGAGTCGATTCAAAATTATCTACGATTCACACAAGAAAATACCGAGAGATCTTTCGAAAACAGGAATCCATTCATTTTCGAAAAAGGGAGCACACGGTTTCGGAGAAAGTTATTCGTCCGAAGAGTTGTCTAGCAAGAGTCGCAGCCTCGCTCGGCCCGTTCGCGTTGCTCTGTCCCGATCTCCCGACAATGAGCCGTAAAACCAGGCTTTTACATCAGAATGAACCCACATGTGACACAAGCGCGAGTCCTCTCGACGTAACGCCGGCACAATGACCGATTCACGGTCGTCCCGCCGCCGCGACAATACGCGCTTGTTTGCCGGGCCGCACAATGAACAAACGGCGATTCGATGGTCCAAGGCAGCTGCTCACGTGAGAAAATATTTCGGCGAGGACCTGCCCGACGCACGCTGCACCGGACACGCCGGAATCACGGATCGACCCGAGTTTCGCGGAAACATCGCGCATGCGGGCGGATGACTAATCTTATCAGCAAACAGTCTAGCTGGAAACCGTTCGTCCGAAGACTTTTATGGGAGTCGTTCGTCTTAGTAGATTCTAATTGTAGATTCGATAGAAATATGAGGTTGGATATTTTACAATCATTTTCGTTGTGGAATCATAGAATAAATCGACCGAGATCTATTAGTGGTTATTGAAATTTAAGGAATGTTCGATTTTCATGTGAAGATCGTAGAGTAATCGGTGAAGTTCCTAGAAATTGTTGGTGATCAATAGGCTAAGCCGAAATTCGTTCGAACTACGGGGATCTGGACGCAACGCGCAAATTTCACGGCAGACGCGCCGGATATTTTCGTCGGAGCGACGCAACTCGTGTGTCAAGGCGAAGGCGCGATTAGCTCAATTACGCTCGTGCGTCGCGCACCGAAAATATTCCGTGTTCCGATTCCCCAGACCCAGACGAACTTTTATTTCTCTTTCGAATCGAAATCCCCAGGTTCTCTTCGTGTGTTTCTAATATCGATCATACAATCTATCACGTCAACTCTAACTACACCCTGCAAAATGGACGTTTAACAGAATCCAACAATACAAATTCAAAAGAACCCAAATTTAAATCTATTGTCTACTAACAGCAATCCATAGATCAAGTGGGAATAAATTTAAATCTACTCTAGTAATCAATGCATCAAGCGGTAATACATTGAAATCTACAGTAACAATACTCAATAAATCACCAACTGGAAATGAATTTAAATCTATACTCCAGTAATAACCAACACAATGCCAAGTAGAAGTAAATCGAAATCAACAGACTAGTAACAGCAACCAACTGCTATATAGAAATAAATTTAAATCAGCACTCTAATAACACCGATCAGCCATAATGATACAATAAACAAAATCGATAGTACAACCAGCGAATTCCCGAATAAGAATGAATAATTACCGCAATATCTGCGGACAGTCCTCGAGAGAAGCGTCTCCGCGATTGCTCAATAGAATTCGTGCCCAGACCTAGCGCAACGTTCCCCGTCGAAACCGAAAGCGCGTAGCTGGTCCGCGGATGAACCGTTAAGGCGGATACTCAATCCTGCACGCTCGTTTTTCGCGATTGAATCGCGTCGACGGTGCCCCGCGGTGCCTTTAACGAGGACACATGGGAACCGGTACGTCCTCGCGCGTCGCCTTTACTCATTCAACGGAGAAACCAGTTTTCATCGCGGTGGTCCGGCTGACACGGTCGATCGCGATGCAGATAAATAAGCCCTCGTTACCTCGGAGAAGGTGATGCCGGCGACGACCACGAAGACGACGAGCCACGCGGCCCGCGGACCGGCGAAATTCCTCATCGCATGGTCGGCCGGCCGCGCAGAAAACGAAAGTGAACGTTTATCGAACGCCCGACGCGACGCCGAGACACGCGAATTTAATCGAGCGTTTAACGCGCCGCTTAATCGAGACTGTCCGGGGCTCTGCAACTCTCCGCGTGTGAATGTCAATTGCCGCGTTAATGAATTACGCAGGCGTTTCGGTTGTTTCCTGGACAGCTGTTTTCGGCGATCTCTCTTTCGGGGGATTTATGCCGTCGTTTATCCAGTTGACGCGAATGTTGGAAGTTCTGACTTTGTTGGTAATGAAGGCTGTTGATGATTTAATATAAAGAGTATTAAAGGTCGGAGGATTGGATTTCGAAATTAGCGAAGCAATTTGTTCGAGCATAAGAGTTCGAGATTTGGGTCGTTAAGATTCACGGGATTTCTCAAAATGAGAATATTCAATGGTCTTTCTCCTATGGTGACCCGTGAATAACAGGAACATTAGCAGGCTTTCCGGTTAAGCGAGAGGGGATTCGAGTTCCTTATTAACCCTTAGGTTGAAATTTCATCCCTGACAATCCAGAGTGAAATCAATGTTGTCAATCATTCTACTACAAACGCAGTACTAAAATAACCGTCCGTAACCCTTCGTACGTTGACGAGAGTTTCGAGCGTTTTGTATGTTAATGCTTATTCTGCAAATGGCGTTAGAAATAATCATTA